TTTTTCTTTTGCTCGCCGATCGCCGCTTATCCGTATCGTGAACTGCATATTATATATATATATATATATGCAACGTGCAACAGCAGTATAATAATAACGGTTATAATATGGTGGATGAGCGTCATCGTATATACATCGTATATAGGCACATATAATAATGTAATATTATTTATTATTATTATTATTGTTATTGATATCGGCGAACGCGGTATTGCGTATGGGACCGAAGGACATGATATTATATAGTTTCACTCTACAGTATGCAGTATGTATATATATATAATATATGTACACGTGTACGGTATATACCTCACAAATACCGAAGAAACGGTCGTGTGCTGGTCATCAGCTGCCCTCTTGGCCACGAGCGAAACACAACCGTATAGTTTGCACCCGAATATAATATACGACGGAGATACGTGACGACGATAAGACGCCGATACGGTCCGGATAACATCTTACGCGTACATACGTGTGTGTGTGTGCACAGTTCCCACGGCGCACAACCACGGTAGTCGGCGGGTAGGTGCGGTGCGGTATATACCTGTTGCGGCGAGAGAAGAAACGCCACCGCTGCACCGGTGCGGTGCGGTGCACTGCACGGGACGATAATATTTTTATAGCCGCGATTAAGGTGCGCGCACGCCAGTCCGGCGCTCTGCAGACCTCGMGCGGCATAAGACGTGCACTGCAACACTTCGGAACAATCCTATTTTCGCGGTAAGCGCACTTCAACATAATAATAATATCACACCGATGGCGATCCTGACTTCCCGCGGTGCAGATAATATTGTTAAATAGGGTGGTTATTTTTCAACACGATGCTCATCCTTATTACGCCGTTGTTATGCTTTGAATTTTATCGATAACCCTGATTTTTGAAGGAGATATTTTCAAGTACTCTTGTCACTAATATATAATATAGTTATTCAGTTGTTGTAGGATTCGAGAAATTAACCTTCTCTCCAACGACAYATTATAATCACAAAATGTTCATTATTTAACTTTTAACGTGAACCATTGGACTTTTTATTTTGTTCAAACTATTGCAGTGACGAGTTTAAGTCAAAATATGATCGAGCAAATGTGTGATGGCTTCTACTCCGTTTTGGTAACGACCCAAACTGTTATATACGTTACCACCAACCACTAATCATCGATGGTTT